ATGAATTTGGAGTTACAATAAGCAAGTGATAATTTCTCGAAAGAATGGAAAACAATTATTTGCTCTGTTGGGGAATAGATGATATTTAGTCTCCATTTAATGGAAAACTAATTAAATTACATGAGCAAGTGAATAGGAATTTTTTGTTAATTATGAATTTTGCGAGCTACAAAGGCGAAATGATGATGGATCCTGTGATGTGCTGAGCTCCTCACCAGCACAGAGATAAGATGACAGCAGAGAAGGAGCGGTGTGAATGCATTTTAATTCCTCCATCGATTCACTCGCAGCCAACTGAACCTGATCCATTAGCAGGGATTCATGGAGCTGACATTGACTGGCAGCTGGCGGCTAATTATGTTAAAATCGGGGAAAGGTTGGTTAAATAAACATGGGTTTCTTCCTGGAGTGCCTGGGGGGAGTCATGGGATCACAGAATCACACAGTGCTGGGGTTGGAAGGGACCTTAAAGCTCATCTTGTCCAGCCCCTGCCACGGGCAGGGACACCTTCCACTATCCCAGGTTGCTCCAACCTGGCCTTGGACACTTCCAGGGGGTTCAGTTCCAAGTCACTTCAGTTTGGTTGGTTCCTGTGGTGGCCCTTCCCCACCCCTGGGTGCAGGATGTGCTGTGTGGGTGGCACGAGGTGGCCCTTTGTAGGTGGCACGAGGTGGCCCTCGGGGCTCTGAGTCCCTGGGCTTGGGGGCTGTTCCCAGGAAAAGCAGGCAGGGGTTGGGCTCAAGGCCAGGGGTGCAGGGGGTGGGTGAGGGGGGGTGTCGAGCACCCCCAGCATGAGACCCATGCCCAGGTTTGGGGTCCCCATCACAGAGAGCGTCCCTGACCCTGGGGATGGAGCATCCCTGGTCCCAGGGCTGGGACATCCCTGGACCCGGGGCTGGAGCATCCTTGACCCCAAGCTGGGCTGATCCTGATCCCAGAGCTGGAGCATCCCTGGACCCAGGGCTGGGGCATCCCTGGACCCGAGGATGGAGCATCCTTGACCCCAGTTCCAGGGCACCTGGAGCACCTGACCCCAGGAACTGGAACATTCCTGACCCCAAGTTGGAGCATCCCTTACCCCAGGGCCAGAACATCCTTTACCCCAGGGATGGAGCATTCTTGACTATAGTTCCAGGATATTTGTGACCCCAGGGATGGAGCATTCCTGACCCCAGTTCCAGGATATTTGTGACCCCAGGGATGGAGCATTCCTGACCCCAGTTCCAGGGTATTTGTGACCCCAGGGATGGAGCATTCCTGACCCCAGTTCCAGGGTATTTGTGACCCCAGGGATGGAGCATTCCTGACCCCAGTTCCAGGGTATTTGTGACCCCAGGGATGGAGCATTCCTGACCCCAGTTCCAGGGTATTTGTGACCCCAGGGATGGAGCATTCCTAACCATAGTTCCAGGGTATTTGTGACCCCAGGGATGGGGCATTCCTGACCCCAAGCTGGACTGATCCTGACCCCAGGGCTAGAACATCCCTGGACCTGGGACTGGGCCATCCCTGGACCCAGACCTGGAGCACCCCTGGTCCTGGGACTGGGATGTCCCTGTCCTGAGGCTGCTCCCTCCCACCCCAGCCCAGAGGAGCCGTGTCCATCCCACCACCCGCCCCACCAGAGGAGGGGGGGCTGAGCCTCAGGACCCCCTCCCTGCCACTCATTAATTAGGGCCTAATTAGCATGAACCCCAGAGCCCTTCCTCCCTGGAGCTCCAGAGGTGTGTGTGTCCTGGCTCTCCATCCCAAATGCAGCCTCTGGAGGGATTTAACCTGCTCTGAGCACAAACCCCATTTCCCTCCCCCTCATTAAGGGAAATTACCCAACTGACTTAATTACCCTCGGCCTGTGTCAGTGATTTGCACGTGTTCACCTCACACACTGGAATAAACATCTATTCCCAGGGATAGATGGGGACCCTTGGATGATTTCTTTCCCAATAAACATGCCAAAAATCCTCATTTTGCCCTGTTGTGGTGCCATCAGTTAGTGCTTCAGTGGGTGAAAAATGATCTCCAGGCCCCTGACTTTGCCTCCACAGCATCTCCTGTGGCCTCTCCCAGGGACATCCCTGAGCATGAATTGGGGACAAATTTGACCCCTAAATTCCCATTCTGAGTCACCACCAGGCCTGGACAACTGATCAGCCCAGCAGAAAGAAAATAACCCCAAGGGCCAGGAGGAAAAGAGGGGGAGAAACCCCACTCCTACACCAGGGCTGGGGGCTGCCAATCTGGGTGGGTCCACCAGGGCTTTTTATTAACCCAAAACCTCATTTTCCCCCTAATTTTGCCATTTTAAGGCAGCAAACAGCACCCCCAGCCAGCAGCTTTGCTCCTCCTTCCCCCCACCTACAAATAGCTCCCTGTTGGCTGCACTGGGATTGTTGCTGAGGCTCTTCCTGGGAGCCAGGGGCTGGATTTTGGCTCCAATTGGAAATCCTGAACAATTCCAGTGATGGATACACGTGCCTGGAGTCCCAGTGTCCTGGAAGGGGCCCAGCTCCCTGTGGCACATCCCTGCCTTCAGCTGAGGAAGAGGAGCAAAAGCTGCTGCTGCTGGGATTTCTTTCATCTCCAGATTTTTTTTTTTTTAGGGAAAAAAATTAAAATAATAAAACCAATCAAAACAACAACCCGTGTGTTAGTTTTCTTGACCCAAAACCAGACTTTTTGGGGGTAAAAACACCAGTTTGGTGATAAAAAGCCATTTCCACGTGTTCTCTTTATACCCCTGGCAGGGAGATCTCTCTCTGGCATAAGGATTCAGGTGGGTTTTTTAAACAAAACACCCTGTTTTGGTGGAAGGAAGCCCCTCATGGCTCCCTCCCACCCTCCCACTGAATTACATGACCCTGACTTAATTTCATCCTAATATTTCCTCTATAATTTTGGTCATCAAGGGTTTTCTTGCACAAAACCCCAAAACTTGGGGGGGTGGGTGTCTGAATTGGCAAAGGACAAAATGTTGGGCTCATTTCCCACCCTCTCACAGATGAAATCGTCTCCTCACCTCTCAGGGAAGCACCAGGATGTGCTTTATTGACCTTTTTTTTAATCTAAAATTGATTCCCCGCAAAACTCCACGTGGCTGAGAGCCAGAAGGGATCTCAGCCCCATCAAAGGGGGGGTTTATGGTTTTCCATGAGGACATTTTGCCCTTCTCTGGGGTTTTTTGGGGCTGAAGGGAGGGCTGAGCGGGTTTGCCCGGCCGTGGCCAAGGAGATGCTCTGGAGTGGTTGGGTCCTTGTCTTTGTTTGGTCTGTGGGGTGAAACCCATCCATCTGCTCCAGGATCGTGCTGGAATCCCAGAAGGGCCCACGAGCTGCATCCTGGAGGTGGGTCTGTACCTGGATAACCCTCACGAGCCCGGGACACCTCTCCCCGTGGGATGAGGGTGATGGGAGCTCTCTGAGGCGAAGGCCTGGAGATGGTGGAGCCAGGAGGACTGAGGGGAATGGAGTCAGCCCACAGTGGGGATGTTCCAGGTGCGCCAGGTCCACAGGTGGGATCCTTGGCAGCCTCCACAGTGAGGTGTGGGACTACCCAGGGCTGGTGGAGGTCACTGAACTAGACCAGTGTGGAGAAAACACAGGTTCCCCTACTTCAAACATCCAGTTTGGGTCCAGCTCCTGCTCCCAGGACTCTGGTTCAGAGCATCCCCTGGGGAACCCACTGCATTTTTGAATGGGTTTTGAATCCACAGAAGCCAAGCTTATTCTGTAAAGCCCCATCCTTCAGCCACATGTGAGCCTCCTAAAATGCTCCTGGGAGCACAGAACAGCCAGCAGGGAGAGAAATCCCCACCCCAGAGGGTGAAGGAAAAGCTCCAGGTGTGGGGGGTGCTGCAGGCTGGTCCCAGCAGTGGGATGTGTGGGCTGGCTGGGCCCTGGGAGGCTCAGATGGGCTTGTACCACGCACACAAATGCATCTGTGCAGCAGCATCCCTCAGATCCCTTGCTCTGACACCTAAGGCTGCGTGGGGCTGGTTTCGGAGATGCTTCCTTATAAACATCAGAGTGGATTAAGAATTTACGGAAATCAAAAGCAGCGAACTGTTCCCAAGCCCTCCTGCCGGGCGGCATTTCAGCCAGAGGTTTCTAAAGCGGCGGTCCCGGTGATTCCTCGCACTCCGCCGTGTCCCCGAAGGTGCGCTGGGAAACCAGAACAAAGGCGAGCGGGGTGGGCGGCGGTGAGGGGCCGTGTCAGCCCTGCCTGCACCCACCGCAGCCCCGGCACCGCGGGCTGGGCGCTCGCAGCCCCGGCCAGCGCTCGCCCCCGGCCCCTGAGCGCTGCCGAGGGGAGCGGGGCTCCGCGGGAGGAGCCGGGGGGCTCCCGGCGGGCTCGGCCATCTGTCCTCCCCGCAAGCCCAGCTGCTGCCCCGGCACGGCCACCCCAGGGGAGGCGGCGGGGTCCCGGTGCCGCAGGGCAGGGGGGATGCGGGGGGGCGCGGGGGGGGACAGCACCTCCCAGCCCTTCGCCAGCGCCTCACCCAGCCCCTCACCCGGCTTCGGAGGGGGGAGGGAAAAAAAATAAAATAATAAAAAAATCTCCCACCATAAAGACAAGCGCTGAGGGACGAGGATAAAGATAGGACAAAGATAAAGAGAAGGATGAGGCTGAGGCCGGGCGGGAGCCGCACCGCCCGCGCCCCCGGAGGCCTCCAAGGGCTCGCGTTGGCTCGGCGTGCCCGGCCCCCCCGAGCCCCGCCCGGCCGCGCCGCCCGCCTTGTTCCGGCCCTGCCGCCCGGCCCCGCCCGCCCGGGGCTGTGCGGGAGACAATAGCGGAGCGGGCGGCTCCGCGCCGGGCCGGGCCGGGGATGCGCGGCCAGCGCTGCGCGGCCCCGCGGCCCCCGCGCCGCCCCAGCGCGCTGTAGCGGGGCGGGGGGCGGAGGGAGAGGAACGAGAAGGGGGGCGATGCCCCGCGCCGAGCGCAGCCCGCCGCGGTGCTGAGCCGGCGGGGCTGGGGAGCAGCAGGACATGGTGCTGGAGCCTCCCCGGTCGCTTCCCGGGTGAGGAGCCGGAGCGCGGCGGCGGCGGCGGGGAGAGGCCACGGCGAGGGAGCCCCGAGGATCCGGCTGGGGAGCCATGGGGAGATGCAACGGGCGGTGCACGCTGGTGGGATTCTGCTGCCTGCAGCTGGTAAGGCTCATCGGCATGCCGGGGGTGCTTTGTGCGAGAGGCTGCTCCCCTGTCACCGCTCCCCGCGCCGCCTCGGCGGTGACCTTGCGTTGGGACCGGCTCGGGGATGCTTCACCGTCACCCCCCCCCCAAAAAAAAAAAACCACACAAAAGAAAAAATGCTAATCAAAAAGATAGGAAATGCCACCCTCGTGCCCTGCCCCAGCGCTGGCCGGGGAGATGGATGGGCACCCGCTCCCGGCGCTGTCAGCGCCCGGGGTTGCGTCTCCGGCAGGTGTGAGCTTTGTTCCCAACTGCAATCTCTTCACTCCGAGTTCGCTCCCGCCGGCGGTTTCCCATCCTGGTGGACTCCCGAGGATGTTTCTTGGGGTGCCGCTCCCCCGAGTCGGGGCAAGAGGGAAACTTGGAGCCGCTGCCAGCACTTTGGAAACTCTCCCGCTTCCGAGCGGGACCCACCTGCCCGCGGCGGGGGGACACCGGGATGCGGGGGGCGAGGAGAAAGGAAAGGTTTAATTTTAATGGGATTGCCGGTCTTCGTGGCGATTCAGCGCTGCACTTGCCGCCGCCCGTGAATCAATCTTCATCAGGCTCTACCACAGGAGCGGGCGAAGGGAGCGCGGGGGGGATTCGGGGGGTTTCTGCTCAAACCAGCGCCGACGATGTTGCGATTAATTATCCCGGCGGGGCGGTTCGTTAATGTACAATCAGCATCCTCCAAGTTGCCCCCGCGGCCGTGCCGGGGGCTCCTCACGGCGAGGAGAAAGGGGGAAGGGGGATTGCTGAGATCTGGGGCGTCAGCCCGTGGTGTCCCCGGGCTCGGGGGGTGCTGGGTGGATGGAGGCAGCGATGGAAACGGTCTCCGGAGCCGCTCTGGAGGTGATGGTGTCATCCTGCTGACGGGCACTTTCTTCCCGCCGTCGCTCCTGTTCATTCCTCATCCTTGGGAAGGCAGCGAGCGGGGAGGGGTCCCCACTTCTAGGTGGAGGGGGGACACCGGGTGTTTCTGGGGGGATGAGGAAGCTTTGAGGCTAAGACTCAACCCCGGGTGGCTCATCCCCGGGCTGAAGTCCCGCCATTCCCAGTGGGAATGGCCTCCGTGTCCCCAGCTGTCCCTTCCGTTCGCTCTGTAAAGTCTCGCTTTGCGTTTCGCTCACCTTCCCCCTCCTTCAGGATAAATCCAGCGGGTGTTTCTCGGCCGTGCAGGAGTTTCCTGGCTCTCGGTCACTTTCCTTTTCACAGCTCGGCTCCTAAACATGTTTGTTGGCATTTATTCCCTCAGATATCCCAGATCTGGGAGATTTTAATCCATTTATTTTAGGGGAAGGCTGAATTGTTGCAAGCTCCTGGGCTGGGAAAGCAGCTCCTGCTCACACCCAGAAAAACTTGATGCTGTTAATTGGGGTCAGGCTGTGCCCTCCCCCCTCCCCCCCTGTGTCCTGGTGCTGTTGGCATCCCTAAAGGCTCAGCTCCAAGACTGTCCCTTAGCAGTGACCTTCCCACCCCACACTCAGCTCATCCCCTCTCACCCTGCAGGGTGATCTCCCAAGCCCCTTCCTGGCTCTGGAGGCAGCACCTTCCATCCCATCAGGCCCCCACTCCCAGCACCTCCTGCCTTGGCAGTGGCACCTCCTGCCCTGCCACTGAAGGCTCTGGGTGCCTGTGCTGAGCCAGCCCCAGGCTGGTGGAGGTGACAGTGCCACCAAGGTGTCCCCTGGGGTGACCAAGGCCACTCTTTATCTCCAAGGTGGCACAGCCAGGGTGCACAGACCAGGCAGTGCCAAGGCTGTGAGGGAACAATGAGGAGCAGAGACGTCACCTGCCCCCATCCCTGCTCCCCTTCTCTGCTTCAGCCATTCTGTGCCACCCCCAACACAGGGATGGCACCGTGGGGCTCGTGTCCCCCCATCCAGGTGGCCCTGATACCTGTCCTGGGTCCTTTGTTCTACAGCTGTGGACAACTGTGCTCCCAGTGTGCCCAGCTGCAGGGGCTGGGGCTGTACTGGTGTGTGCTGGAGCTGCCTGGGGAGCTGTGCCCAGTTGCTGCAGGGGCAGCTCAGTTAAACCTCCTTGTCTTGTCAAACCTCCCTGGCCATCCTGGGCCTCAGTGTCCCTTACATGAGCAGTGTGGGGGACATTCAACCCTCCTGGGGCAATGCCACCACCTCCAGCTGGTCCTCACTGCCTGGCCACCTTCCCACAGGCACCTTCCCATGGCACCCCGTGTGTCACCATCACCCCAGGGGCACCTTCCACGTCCCTGCTGGTTTCCCCAATATCTGTCCCCTGGTCCCTTGTCCCCCCTGGTCACGGGAATGCTCATGGTGGCTCCACGGCTGGGGGTGCTGCTGGCACCCCCTGGGCACACAGTCCCTGGTCTGGAGGGGCCCTGCAGAGCCTTGCCCACTCCACCCCACACCTAAACCAGTTTGGGAAATTGGTTTTCGGGCCATGACACCACAGGGAGCCGGGGCAGCCATTTTGAAGCATCCAAACCCCCTCCGAGCTCCTTCACCGCTCCCGAGGCGATGCTGAAGGTGCTGGGTGACTCTGCTCCTGGGGACAGGAAACACCTGCCAGATTTTGCCTCCATTTATGTTTTTTTCCCCTGAAAAAACCCACTTGCCAGGCACCTACCACCCCTGGGAGGGGCCATCAGCAGGTGTTCAGGATAACGAGTTGGGATGGAATCCAAACCCCTGGCTTTTGCTGGTCTTTCCCACCATCTGGGGGAGCCTGTGATGCCTGTTGTTGTCAGGAGGATTTACCCTTAATTTCTGTGAAGTGAGAGCTGCTGAGGTGGTTGGATGGAACAGGAACCTGAGGTGATCCCACCCCGTCTGGCACTGACAGCACGGGCACCGGGAGCCTCGAGCCACAGCACTTGGTAACTCGGGATCCTAACGGTGCTGGGTGTAGGCTGGGCCAGCTGTGGTGCTACAGGGAGGTGTTCCAGCCTCAGAGGCTGTTGGGATATTGGGATACGGACTGCTGGGAGCTGAGCTCAGGCTGGATGTGTCCAGCTGCTGTCATGTGTCCCTGGGCCATCCCGCTTCTCACTCGAGCTGGCTCCTTCTCCACCCCAAAGTGGTGACCCCACTGCCTCCCCCTGTGGGGTGGGGGTGGGATCCAGCTCAGCCCCAGAGCTGGGTGGGCTCAGGGGCTGCTCAGAGCTCCCACCTCTGGCTGGCACAGCTCGGCATCACTCCCAGCCGGGGCTTCATTTCCTTCTTTGTTTCTCCCTTCTCCCTCAAAAGGCTGGGAAAGCAGAGCTGGGTTGGCACCTCCCGCCTGGCTGAGCCTCTGGGGCTGTGGGGCGTGCTGTGGAGTGCCATGCCGTGCCACTGCCATCCCTGCTCCCGCAGCCTCCTGGGGTTGGGGTGCAGGAGAAGGGCTGTGGGTCCATCCCATCCCTCTGCCCAGGCCTTGGCTTTCACACAGGGCACCAAGAGCCTCTGGGATGTGCCCCCATCCCCGAGCCTGGAGAAGGAGATAACGGGCTCAGCTTAATGAGGGCTGGGGGAAGGGAGAGGGTGGTTCATCCCCTGCATCCCTCAGCCACCCACCAGCCGTGGGTGACTCCCCTTCCCCAGCGGGATCCCACTGCACCCTGGGGGCTCCCAGCCCTCCCGTCCCCTCCTGTCCCCAGCACCCCTCCTGCCCCGATTCCTCTGGTTTTGGCCATCAAGGAGGGCACCAGTGAGAGTCATCCACCGGCATCTTTTGTCCTCACCGGGTTCCCACCGTGCCACATCCTCGGCGCGGGGATGGCACGAGGGCAGCGGGGCCGGAGCTGCCCCCGCCGCCTTCCCCCTCCCTGGGAAGGGGGAAAAAGGAGCCCGGGCTGAACTCGGGGATGGAGGTTTTCAATTACACAATTAAATGCACAATTAGGTGTAATTACCAGCGCTCAGAAGGTGCGACTGTTCATAATGGGCTTGTAATCTACTGCCGCCACTGTTTGTACTGCTCGGCTCCCGCTCCCTAATGATTACGGAGAGCTTTCCCATTTGCATGGTTGCCATGGAAATGGGGGGCTGGCAGAGCCCCTCGCTTCCCCGAGCCCCCCGGCTCCCCCTCAGCCCGTCTCCGTGGGGTGGGACACGGTGGGTGCAGCGGTGCCCCAGCACCAGGGGATGCTGCAGGGCGGTGGGCGCTGGCCTGGAGAGACGGGGATGCTCCAGGGATGGGCAGCACGAGGATCCATGGACAGCTCCGGGGTGGGAACTGCGTGTTAAGAGGCAGGAAAAACCCCAACCCACCCTGTCACCTCTGCGGGTGAGCACCCCAAAACCCACAGGAGGGTGTGGGTGGCCGTGGAGAAGCATCACCCCGGCGAGACCTCCATGTGGATGAGCATCCTGTGGCACGTCCCCCATCCAGGCAGAGCCATAAAGGTTTATTGAGGAGTGTTTGGGAAGGCAGAGCCTCCCAGCTCGCAATTAAAACCGCGATTAAAGTGCCGTACATCTAAATTTGCAGGACCAGCCAGTGTGCCCCCGAGAGGATTAATGAGGCCGCTTGAAGAGCTCCCTAAATCATTCATGCCAGTTTGCAACAGAGCTGGGAGAGAGGGGGACTGGAAAATAAATGTTTTGCAGGGCTGGGTTGTAGAGAAAATAAAGGGGATGAGCATGAAAACAGCCTGGCCTGCCACTGAAGCTGTGAGAGCCCGGGAAGGAAAGGTTGATGTGATCAGCAAAGCCTAAAGCAGGTTGGCTGATGGATATCTGGGGAAATGAGTCTTGTCCAAGCCAGACCTGGGTCTTGTTCCTTCTTGAGCTCTCAGGTTTGGCTGCTGGTAGGGACTGAGCTGTCCTGGCAGTGTTTGGAGGCCGATAAGCAATTTGATTTAATCCCAGGTGGCTTCTGTTAGGAGAAGAATTAGCTCTATAAAAAATCAATGCTGCTCATTTCAGGAATAGACAGAAAGGAGGAAAGGAATAAAATCCTCGCTGGAGACAATGTGGGGATGGTGGTGAGCAGTACCTGGCACAGGGGAG